CTGATTTTTTTTCCTCTGAAACTGATGAAAACAAGTAAATTTTGGTCGAAAAAATTAGGATGGCGGGCTACGCTCTACAACGTTTGTAGAGCTCGAAAACAGCTTCAATTTGGTATATTATTGGCCTAGCAACGGTTTCTGGATCAAAAGTTATGGCCGTCTTCAGTCACAGTTCTCTGATTTTTTTCCTCCGAAACTAATGAAAACAACTGAATTTTGCACCAAAAAATTGTGTTGGCGGGCTCCGCCCTGTCACGTTTGTAGACCTCGAAAGGTGCTTCGATTTGGTATATTATTGGCCCAGCAACGATTTCTGGATCAAAAGATATGGCCTTGTTCAGTGACAGTTCTACGAGTTTTTTTCCTCTGAAACTGATGAAAACAAGTGAATTTTGCCCCAAAAAGTTGGGTTGGCGGGCTACGCCCCACCACGTTTGTAGAGCTCGAAAAGGGCTTCGATTTGGTACATTATAGGGCCAGCAACGATTTCTCGATCAAAAGTTATGGTCGTCTTCAGTCACAGTTCTACGATTTTTTTTCCTCCGAAGGTGATGAAAACAAGTGAATTTTGGCCCAAAAAGTTAGGTTGGTGGGCTATGCCCAGCCATGTTTATAGCACTAAAAAAGTGCTTCAATTTCGCATATTAAAGGCCCAGCAACGATATCTGGATTAAAAGTTATGGTCGACTTCAATCACAGTTCTCCGATTATTTTTCCTCCGAAACAGATGAAAACAAGTGAATTTTAGCCCAAAAAATTGGGTTGGTGGGCTACACCCTACCACGTTTGTGGAGCTCAAAAAGTGCATCGATTTGGTATATTCTAGGCCCAGTAACGATTTCTAGATCAAAAGTTATCGCCGTCTTCAGTCACAGTTTCCTGATTTTTTTTCCTCCGAAACTGATGAAAACAACTGAATTTTGGCCCAACAAATTGTGTTGGCGAGCTACGCCCCGCCACCTTTGTAGAGCTTGAAAAGTGCTTTGATTTGGTATATTATTGGCCCAGCAACGATTTTTGGATCAAAAGTTATGGCTGTCTTCAATCATAGTTCTACGAGTTTTTTTCCTCCGAAACTGATGAAAACAAGCGAATTTTGGCCCAAAAAGTTAGGTTGGCGGGGTACGGCCCACCACGTTTGTAGAGCTCGAAAAGTGCTTCGATTTGGTATATTATAGGGCCAGCAATGATTTCTCAATCAAAAGTTATGGTCGTCTTCAGTCACAGTTCTCTAATTTTTTTCCTCAGAAACTGATGAAAAGAAGTAAATTTTGGCCGAAAAAATTAGGATGGCAGGCTACGCTCTACCACGTTTGTAGAGCTCGAAAACAGCTTCAATTTGGTATATTATTGGCCCAGCAACGGTTTCTGGATCAAAGGTTATAGCCGTCTTCAGTCACAGTTCTCTGATTCTTTTCCTCCGAAACTGATGAAAAGAACTAAATTTTGCACCAAAAAATTGTGTTGGCGGGCTACGCCCTGCCACGTTTGTAGAGCTCGAATAGTGCTTTGATTTGGTATATTAATTGCCCAGCAACGATTTCTGGATCAAAAGTTATGGCCGTCTTCTGTCACAGTTCTACGAGTTTTTTTCCTCCGAAACTGATGAAAACAAGTGAATTTTGGCCCAAAAAGTTGGGTTGGCGGGCTACGCGCCACCACATTTGTAGAGCTCGAAAAGGGCTTCGATTTGGTATATTATAGGGCCAACAACGATTTCTCGATCAAAAGTTATGGTCGTCTTCAGTCACAGTTCTCCGATTTTTTTTCCTCCGAAAGTGATGAAAACAAGTGAATTTTGGCCCAAAAAGTTGGGTTGGTTGGCTATGCCCAGCCATGTTTATAGAGCTCGAAAAGAGCTTCAATTTCACATATTATAGGCCCATCAACGATATCTGGATTAAAAGTTATGGTTGTCTTCAGTCACAGTTCTCCGATTATTTTTCCTCCGAAACAGATGAAAACAAGTGAATTTTGGCCCAAAAAATTGGGTTGGTGGGGACACCCTACCACGTTTGTAGAGCTCAAAAAGTGCATCGATTTGGTATATTATAGGCCCAATAACGATTTCTAGATCAAAAGTTATGGCCGTCTTCAGTCACAGTTCTCTGATTTTTTTTCCTCCGAAACTGATGAAAACAACTGAATTTTGGCCCAACAAATTGTGTTGGCGAGCTACGCCCTGCCATGTTTGTAGAGCTCGAAAAGTGCTTCGATTTGGTATATTATTGGCCCAGCAACGATTTCTAGATCAAAAGTTATGGCCGTCTTCAATCATAGTTCTACGAGTTTTTTTCCTCCGAAACTGATGAAAACAAGCGAATTTTGGCCCAAAAAGTTGGGTTGGCTGGGTACGGCCCACCATGTATGTAGAGCTCGAAAAGTGCTTCGATTTGGTATATTATAGGGCCAGCAATGATTTCTCGATTAAAAGTTATAGTCGTCTTCAGTCACAGTTCTCTAATTTTTTTTCTTCCGAAACTGATGAAAACAAGTAAATTTTGGCCGAAAAAATTAGGATGGCGGGCTACGCTCTACCACGTTTGTAGAGCTCAAAAACAGCTTCAATTTGGTATATTATTAGCCCAGCAACGGTGTCTGGATCAAAAGTTATGGCCGTCTTTTCGACCCATCCCGGCCCCTAAGCTGGCCCCTAGGCGCCTCTCTACGTGGGCCAGGGGTTTTTTGAGAGCGTTTTACTTTTTGTCATTTTTTGAATCCATTTTTTCTGGCATGCCAAGAAAAATGTAAGGATCATGTCTGCGGAATTGTATTCATTTTTTACGTTGTTTTTATTTTTTTATATTTTTTAAAGACTAAAAATAAAGAAAATCATAAAAAAAAGATATTCAACAAAATATGGTGCCGCTTGTGGCGTTAATTCTGAAAAATCATACACTAATTTTAGAACGCAAAACATAACTTAAAATGTAAATTTTTGACCAATCCCAGCCCCTGAGCTGCCCTGAGTGCCCCTCTACGTCGACTGGGGGCTTTTTGACAGCGTTTCACTTTTTTGTCAATTTTTGAGGCCATTTTTTTACATGCCTAGAAAAATGTAAGGATCGTGTGTGCAAAATTACATTATTTTTTTATGTCATTTTTATTTTATTATATTTTTTAAAGACAAAAAATTATAAAATTATAAAATATAGAATATTCATCAAAAAATGGTGCCGCTTATTGCATTAATTCTAAAAAATCATATATTAATTTCAGAATGCAAAACATAAATAAAAATGTAAATTTTTTACCCATCCTGGCCCCTGAGCTGGCCCCTGGCGCCCCACTACGCGGGCCGAGGGCTTTTTGCCAGCGTTTTACTTTTTTTTTGTCATTTTGTGAGGCCATTTTTTTCTGGCATGCCTAGAAAAATGTAAGGATCACGTCTGCAAAATGTCATTATTTTTTTACCTCATTTTTATTTTATTATATTTTTTCTAGACGAAAAATAAAAAAATCATAAAAAATAGAATATTCACCAAACAGTGCTGCCGCTTGTTGCATTAATTCTTAAAAACCATATATTAATTTTAGAATGCAAAACATAAATAAAAATGTAAATTTTTGACCCATCTCGGTCGCTGAGCTGGCCCTTGGGCGCCCTACTACGCGGGCCGGGGACTTTTTGACTGCGTTTTACTTTTTTATCATTTTTTGAGGCCATTTTTTTCCTGCATGCCTAGAAAAATGTAAGGATTGTGTCTGAAAAATTTCATTAATGTTTGGCGTCATTTTTATTTTATTTTTTATATACGAAAAATAACGAAAATCATAAAAATAGAATATTGATCAAACAATGATGCCGCTTGTTGCATTAATTCTTAAAAACCATATATTAATTTTAGAATGCAAAACATAAATAAAAATGTAAATTTTTTACCCATCCCGGCCGCTGAGCTAGCCCCAGGACGCCCCACTACGCGGGCCGGGGGCTTTTTGACCGTGTTTTACTTTTTTTGTCATTTTTAGGCCATTTTTTTGGCACGCCTAGGAAAATATAAGGATCGTGTCAGTAAAATTTCATTATGTTTTGACGTCGTTTTTATTTTATTATATTTTTTAAAGATGAAAAATAAAGAAAATAATATTCATAAAAAAATGGTGTCGCTTGTTGTATTAATTCCTAAAAATCGTATATTAATTTTAGAATGCATAACATAAATAAAGATATTAATTTTGGACCCATCCCGGCCCCTGAGCTGGCCCCTGGGTGCCCTACTTCGCGAGCCGGGGGCTTTTTGACAGCGTTTTACTTTTATTTGTTATTTTTTTTAGGACATTTTCTTCTGGCATGCCTAGAAAAATGTAAGGATCGTGTTTGTAAAATTTTATTATTTTTTGACGTCATTTTTATTTTATTATATTTTTAAAGACGAAAAATAAAGAAAATCATAAAAAATAGAATATTCATCAAACAATGGTGCCGTTTGTTGCATTAATTCTTAAAAATTATATATTAATTTTAGAATACAAAACATGAATAAAAATGTAAATTTTTGACTTATCCCGACCCTTAAGTTGGCCCCTGGGCGCCCCATTACGCGGGCCGGGAGCTTTTTGACAACGTTTTACTTTTTTGTCATTTTTAGGCCATTTTTTTGGCACGCCCAGAAAATATAAGGATGAAACAAACATACCCACATTTAAAATTTAAAAAAAAAAAAAAAAGGTTTAAAAGAAAAAACTACCCTACCGTAATTCCATTTACACTATCCATAGCATATTTTGTGATCCACTAGATATGCATCGACCGGTCGAAATTAAAGATTTCATTAGGTCTGCCAAATACTACCCTAAACTCAATCCGGAATTCTTGGAATTTGATGCACCTCGTGCACCATTAGAGGACTAGGTTTTTATTTTTTATTTTTATTTATTTATTTTATGTTATCTGAAACCAAGACCAGCATGAGCATGCCAAAAAAATGTGACAAATTGGCAGTAATTCATAGTTTCTTTTGGAGTAACAGAGTATTTGGGCAGGAACAAGATATTAGTTGTATAAATTTAGTACTATTTTTCAGCCAAACAAAATAACATTGGTACCGCACATTAAATTTTAATCACTTGCCAACTGATATTTCACCAAGTAAATTATAATATGATTACACTGAAGATATTTATAAACACATTACATGAAAAAATAATACTTAAGGTGTGAATTTCTTATAGGCTTCAACTGACCGCTGAGCCTGAGGTGATTTCTACTTTCTTTTAACCACCTTTTTAGCTGCTCCAACCACATTTTCAGCTTCTGCTTGGTTTTCAATCCTAGCAAATACTGGTTTAGGTTGTGCCATTACCTGACCTCCCTTTAGCCCACCCCACTTGGTCTCGCTCTGCAATGCAAAACCAGTCGTCAGATCACAAGAGAATGGTACATATCAATGATTTACTATATAAATAAGCATGTCTAGAAAAATAGAAGTATTCATGATTACAAAGTCATGAGAAAGAGAGAGAGAGAGAGAGAGAGAGACCCAGGTTACAGCATCAAATTGGTCCTTGGTGAAGCCAAGCTGTGAGTATATTCTCCAACATAAACTTGGTGCCACTGGTGATAATGCAATTGCTATAATCCTCATGGTTTCTAATATAATTACAAGGTCCTGATCCAAATGGGAAAACTCAGTTTAAAAAAACCCAAAGAATGCAGGAACAATCCAGCCTTATTGCAGTCCAAAAAAAATAAAAACAAAAAACAACAAAACACTTGAGACACTGGATATTGACAATCAATTAGTTCGCTTAAACATGAGAGTGAGCCGAGATGATTCAAAACTTGGATTTGTTTAACCTCGAAAAAGCTTTGACTATTGTTTGGAACGAATTATACTGGTGTGAAGAGACGTTTCAGGCAAAGTACGGAAATGCTGAAAAGATGGGTAATCATGTATGCTTTTACAAACCTTTGCAGCAGATTCAGCAGCAGCACCCCCTTGCCTAAAGAGGGACCATGGTGCTCGCTCGTCCATGTACAGATTTCCGGCATTACCAATCTCTAGCACAGCCTCACAAGCAGATGATAGTAAGAGATTTTCATAATGAACTCGAGCTTTTTTGACCTAGTAAAACAATCATTAAAAAAAAAAAGAAGTTATGAAAGTATACTATCTATAGCTGCCTCAAACCAAAAGGTTGCTGACAAGCTGTCAATCTGAGGTATTACAACTATAGGTTTATGTGGAAATCCGGATTCTTTGTGATCTCTAGGATCCGGATCTTCTCTGATTTATAGAGGAGTGCTAGCTGTAAAGTAATTGTAATTAGTTTCCTAGAATAGAGGATTTGGTATTCATTCATCGTTTCCTATTTTAGGTAGTTTCTAGTTTATGTTTCTCATTGTAATCCTATTTATTGGTTGTAATATTGAACCAGAAATAATGAGAATTTCATTCACAATTTCTCACATGGTATTAGAGCACTCTCTGAACCTCTAAAAAATTTCCGATGACCAAGTACGGGATGGCTAGTGAAAAGTTAACCGAGCCCTCCACTGAAGGATCATCGAAACCAGAGGCAGCCGTTAGAGGCAGCCATGATGGATCTGAGAGTATCCAAATTCCCATTACAGGACACAAATTAAATGCGAATAACTATCTCCAATGGTCACAATCTGTCAAGATGTTCATCTGCGGCCGAGGAAAGGATGAGTACCTCACAAGAGAAATCGTTCCTCCAAAGAATGGTGATCTGAAGTACAGAACATGGAAGGTGGAGAACAACTTGGTAATGTCCTGGCTAATTAATTCTATGACTAATGAAATTGGCGAGAATTTTCTTTTCTACAGCACGGCACAGGAAATCTGGGAGGCAGCTAAGGAATTCTATTCCAGCAAGGAAAATACCTCAGAGATATTTGAGACTGAGAGCAGTCTTCATGATCTTCGGCAAGGGGATCTTAATGTCACTCAATATTATGGCATTTTAACTCGCCATTGGCAACGACTTGATGTATTTGAGGAACATCATTGGGAATGTCCTAGTGATGCAAAGAAATTCAGAGAGATAGTGGAAAAGAAAAGGATATTCAAGTTTCTTATGGGACTTAATAAGAATCTTGATGAGGTTCGGGGGAGAATTCTGGGAATGAAACCCCAGCATCCGTGTAGCCTTCTCCGAGGTGCGAAGAGAAGAGAGCAGGAAGAAGGTGATGATGGGGGATGTTTTGGGTAATCCAACCGTAGATCAAAGTTCAGCCCTTACTGCTAGAGGTTTTCAACCTAACAGCAGTGACAATCGGGGAAAGAAGGGAAGAGCATGGTGTGAGCACTGCAGAAAACCTGGCCATACCCGAGATACCTGCTGGAAGATCCATGGCAAGCCTGCAGATTGGAAACCCTCAAGACCTGCTCCTGACAGAGAAAGCCGTGGCAATCATGCTGCAGCAGAAGAAGGAACACCTTCCATCGAATCAAGTCCTTTCAACAAAGAACAACTTGAGACCCTACAGAAAATGTTCTCACAGCAGGATATCAGTCACAATATCATCGGAACAGGATCAGTAGCACAAAAAGGTAATCACATTAGTGTTTTTTCTGTAAAATCCGAAAATCCAAAGTCATGGATTGTGGATTCGGGAGCCTCCGATCATATGACAGGAGATATCTCAATGTTTCACAAGTACAATCCATGTCAAGAAAATGTTACAGTGACAATAGCTTATGGATCTCACTCTAGAGTAGCCGGAACAAGTTCTATTATTATTTCAAAGGACCTTAGTCTAAATTTTGTCCTCTATGTCCCGAATCTTGATTGTAATCTCTTGTCCATTAGCAAGATAACTCGAGAACATAACTGTGTTGCTAAGTTTTCTTCAAATGTGTGTGAATTTCAGGATTTGACTTCGGGGAGGACGATTGGCAATGCTAAGGTGCAGTCCGGACTATTTCTTCTTAAAGCTGAGGGATCTCCTAGAGGACAAACTCATAGTGCAGTACGTGTTGAGTAAAATAAAAGCCTTTTTTCCTCCAATAAAGACAATACTATTATGTTGTGGCACTATAGATTAGGCCACCCTAATTTCTTGTATCTTCAAAAACT